TTCATGAATAAATAAAGAAATAAATGATTATAAATGAAATATATAAATATAGTAATATGTTAGCTAAATTAGTAGAATAAGAGAAAAGAGAAATTTTACTAAGAAACTATCTATAGCTAAAATAACTCAAAATAATTAGGTGACTTTTTTTGACATGATTAGGTAATTGTGGTATAGTAAGTCATGTGTGGTATAGTATGTAGTGCAGTAATGATCTGCAAGATAAAAGATAAATATACTATAATTATTAATAACTAATCTAATATTGTTATAGTATGATTTTGTTTGAATCTTTTTAACTAGTATATGATTAATAAGTAATTATACTATTAGATATTGAATTAAAAGACTTTGATAATCTTATTTTCAAAAAAGCTCTCATCAAAAGAATATGTGAACTAATTAATAAATTAGAAATCATACAAGAACTAACCCTTAGTAATATTTATGAAGAACAGTCAAAATAAAAGAAATGATATAACAAAAAATAAAAGTTAACAATTTTTCAAATAGGACAGAAAGTATTAATAAAATAAATAAAAACTTAATACTAATATCATAATAAGTTTGATAAAAAATAGAAAGAATCATTCTACATACATGAAACATATAATAAAAAAGCATACAAACTTAAAAATAAAGATGAAAAAGTTTTAAAGAATCTATATAATAGTGACTATTTGAAATTGTATATTGAGTTTAACAATTTAAACCTAATTATTATCATCAATAATAATTAAAAAATTTACAGAGTAAATCTCTTAAAGCCAGAGATCCTGTAATCAATTACTTATTCATGTGATGCAATAGACATAGTGTAATATATGGTACAGTCATAGCATGTGATACAGTAATTATCAATCACTACTAAATTAGATGAATAAGTAATTTTTATTAATTAATTTTATTTATAATTAACTCTATTTTTAATTTATATTATTATCCATATTTAGTCTTATTCTTTTATTAATTTAACTATGTGTATCATATCTAATTTATAGCTTTATTAAATTAATAATTTCCTAATTAATTATTATTAATTCTCTTTCATTTCTCATTTTAGCTTTAAATAACTTAATATTTCACTAATTTTAAATTCTTTATTATCATATATTTAATATTTCTTGTGATTATTCTTTTGAAATTCTACTTATTCTTGATTAAATTAAGTAAAATATCATGTTAAAAATAATTTATAATTATCATAACAAAGAAAATATTATATATAGAAAATCAAGAAATAATCAAGAAGAATAATTAAGTTTAATAGAAGTAATTACTACTGAGTTAAGAGTAATTAATTAGTATTTTTCTTTAATAAACACACATATTTTATCTTATATCTTATCTTATTTTCTTCTTGCTTTATTGAAAAAGCATTTTGATTAGAAATAAACTTACATAAATTATTTTATTGAGAAAATAATCAAATTTGATTAAAAATAAAACATATATAAATTATCTTATTAAAGATAATTGTATTTTATCAGAAGTAAATCTCACATATAACATCTTATTGAAAGAATAATTAATCATATAATCTCTTAAAACTATAAAAGTAAATAACTGTCATAAACACAATTACTATTGTCATTTTAAAATAATTATATACGCATGATCTTAAAATGATAATAATATAAAAGTTTTTTAATTTTCTAGCAAATATTTTTTATTTTTATCTTAAAAAATAGCTAAAGTTCTCTAGTTTAACATATATTTTTTTCAGATTTTTCAGATTTTTTACCAGCAACTTTTTCTAATTGTATATGAAGTTAATTAATTTTTATTAATTATTAATTAGTAAAAATTAATTGACTTCATATGCAATTAGAAAAGTCACTGGTAAAAAATCTGAACTTTAGCTATTTTTTGAGGTAAAAATAAAAAATATTTGCTAGTAAAATTAAAAACTTTTATATGTAAGGAAAATCATGCATTTTACTAATTATAATTAATAAAAAATTTAAGCATTGCATTACTTTTGATGGCCACTGTAGATATCAAAACAAATTCTGACCGATTTCTTGATTTCTGTCAAATTGATATATTTGGGATGGGTCCAACTGTTTAACAAGAATTGCGCAATTAAAGTCAAAAATACATTTCTCCGAATAAGTTGGAAAAATTCTTAACTATTCACGTGATTTTATTTTAAATTCCAACCTGTGGCATATTCCAAATGTCTCGACACTTTTTTTTGAGCATCGAAATTTCGCTTCTTTTGTCGCAAATTCTCGACTCCTTTTTCTATCGTACCCATGAGTAATTTCATTTTCTGTTGAATTTAAAACCATTTAAGCGCCTTTTTGTCCCTGGTAACAATGACTAACTTTGTATTGAGCAATCGAATGACTTTGTTTTACAGAATTGTGAAAGCCACTCGAAAGCTTTATTCTCTCTCATCCTCTCATCTTAGTTGTCCTGCATCGAATTAGGCACCCTTATCTCCATCTGTTGATTTTAGAAAAACAATCGAATGTCTTTCATCAATATTTGTTTGAATGTTTCAAGAATAACACTTGTATTCCCAGATTAAGATGTCCCTAAATAAGGTTGTCTTTTGTAAAAACGCACGCAGATCTATTTTAGATGTACATTCAAAAATATGAAAAAAGAAAAAAAGACAATTTCAATATTTGCCAAAGCTTTTGTGCAATGTTCTTCTCAGGTAAAATATTTTTTCTCAGGTATATTCTTATTTTTATGTTACTACTGCTTGCTATTCATATTCTATGAATAAAAAAACTAGGCGACAATTTACGCGAAATGCATAACAAATCAACTCGACAATGTTCGTAAAGACATCTGCTTGCCAGAATTTCAAGCATTCAAAGAATGTATGCAAAAATCTATTGGAAAATCGTGGTGATAAAAACAAAGCAAGCTACTACTAGAATAAATTCAATAGTAATCTTGTTAATATCCCACTAAATATATTATAATTTGTTATTATCATATACACAACAAAGTATAAATAACCGCAAGATTCTTTGTGGTTCAAAAAAGGATTCACGAAAATCACCGTTCTTTCACGTCACAATTCATTGTTGGATGTATAAAACATATTCCATCGAATATCACCTGCGCCTTCAAGCAAACTTTGTTCGATCGTACTTAAACACATTTTACCAGGCCGTAGATAACAAAACATTAATACAATGCCATGCCGCATAATTCACGTTCACGTGATTTGTTTGACCAATCAAATTACAAGTTTTATCTGTTAGAAAATATTATATACCTCTCTAAATGCATCATTTTTTTAATATGGTCTCAAGAGGTGAGGTGTTACTGTATATACGTAAGATATCTCTGACCTCTCTTTCCCCCCCAACCAGCGATATCTGTGACTCTCCTAAGCGAAATTTCAAAATACCGTAAAATTCCGACATAAGTATCAAGGTATTTCCCTAATTCGTTTTAGCACCTAAACTCCTATTGGAGATAAATCCCATTGCTATTGTAAGATGAAAATTTTTATAACCTCACATTGATCCATTTCGATCACGTGAGAGTGAATTTTTGTTGGTAGCAAAATGCAAAATTTGTATGGTTTATAATGTAATTTGTGTGAATTGCATAATGATGCGATTTTACAATACGAAATCTTTTAAACAGTCTTACGAATCGATTGGTTCTTTTTCTGCCTAAAAGTTACCGAATTTTTTATCACAATGATTTAGACGCTTTCGATTTACAGAATTTGCAGTAAACGGAACACTAGCTGGTATAGTGCTTTCGCTATTCATTTTATTATTAGAAACTACATATATAATTAGGTTATAACACTATAGAGTATGCAAAATATCTGGAACTGATTTTATCATTATGATTATTGCATCCAAAAACGATATCATGCCTGTGTTCCAGAAATGAATTCAAAAAACGTCTCGACGGGCTCCAGCGGGAATTGAACCCGCGACCTCTCGCACCCAAAGCGAGAATCATACTACTAGACCATGGAGCCTGTACTCGTTAAGTTAAGCTGTTTTTTTAATTATTTAACTTGTTTACATCTGAAAAGACGGCGAAAAAAATAAAAAATCATAAATAATTCACGTCTCATTCGTTTCATTTAAAATATAGACATTAAAAAAAATGAAAATAACCGATTGGTTCGTAGGAGACTTTTAATAAATATCTTGAATCATAAATAAACCGTAAAGCATATTGTTATATATGCTATATACTCTCATGCTTGAACGTTTAATTATCTAAAAATAATTTCATTAGTTACCTTTGCAAATATAAATAATCAATTGATGTAAAGCCGGACATAAAATAATATTGACAAATCTCTTAACGTGTTCGTTTACACGATATCATAATAATAGTGTTTATGAAATATCAGATTATCAATCAATCAATTAATTCTACGATTTTCCTTCGTAATTCGACTCCGATAGGTTGTACATTCTTTATTTCAACAGTTGGCGGCGCGCAGCCAATTAAATGCCTTTTCCACGCATCCTTTCTCGAGAAATTCCTCAAACACGCAGGACACTGATATAACTTTTCACATTTGTGAATTCCATTCACGTGTCGTTTCAGGTCATGTTTCCGGGTGAATGTGCTTGCGCATCCTTCCACTTCACATCGAAAAGGCTTTGTACGATTTGGGTTGTGAGTCAGTAAATGTGATTGCATGTTGAATTTACGATTGAATTGACGATTACAGTTTGGACATGCAAATGTTTTTTGGTTTTTTAATGTTGGTGATTGTGGTTCATTTCTTGTGTTCTTGATATTATCATCTTTAACGTCATCATCATTATTAATATTATTTTTATTATTATTATCATCATTATTTTTATTATTACTGGCATCATCATCATTATTATTATAACCTTCTTTATTATGAGTATTGTTTGTGATAATTGTAATTCTGGTACTAACATTAGGATAAGTAATGATCTTTGATTGAAGAGCCTGATCAGCAAGAAAACTTTCAAGATCCAACTTCGTTTGTTTCTGTGCACCGCTGATTTGCTCATTATTAACATCACAATCTCTATTAAAAGATCTGGAACGTTTTTTATTGTTAAATCCAGAAGTTATATTCAAATCTCTTCCTTTTATATTATCCATATCATCATTATCATCACTATTATTATTGTTAAGGTTATTATACTTAATTTTAGCATTATTAGGCGAGGCTTTATCAACATCTTTTGAATCATCCACAACAAATTGATTAGCGATTCGCAACGCCAGCTCCATTGCATTTTTGGTATTAAAAACATTTTTATGATTAATTTTATTGTGATTATCATCATCTTTAGCCAAATCGTTTTTCATAACGGACACTTGTTCGGCACCATTGTTATTTTCAGCGAATGTAGTTGTAGTATTAATCATTTCCGGGTTTGTCGCAAGATTACTTGTATTAGTAGTATTTGCTTGAGTCTCATCATTCCTCTTCCCTTCTTTCTCTTCATCAGAATCTTTATACTGTAACAACTCTAAAAGAGCAGGCTTAAGCGTGGATTGTTGAGCTTGTGTGCTCTTCTTCCTTTTAAACTCCGAAAAAGTGAATTGTCGTTGCATATGGATAGAACGTAACTGAACTGTGTGAGGTTGTTGATTTGCGTTACTATTGCCGCCAGGTCTAATAGGAATGGGAACAATGACGTCAGGTGGTCCACTCCTGGGTAGTTGGTATCGGTACTTTTGATTTTCGGAAGCTTCACTTTTAGTATTTTTTTTATCCATGTCGTCACTTTTATTTTTTGATATCAGTTTTTTTTTTTGGAAGAAACTGCGGCTTACTTATTGTAGATTTCTTGACGTAACGCGCCTGAGCAAATCATAAATTGTTTACCAGACATAGCTAGTTCCTATTCCTACGCCCAATTAACATCCACTCTAACGTCTACGCCACATTCGCGTATAAAGAAAAATGACTCACCTTTCTACTCAACAACACCACACAGTTCTCTTTAGCAAAATTGAGAACGACGTGCTTATCGAATATGAGAAGCTTGCCTCTAATGTTGAGCAGGTAAAAAGTGAAAATTGGGCTAAATAATTTGCTTGCAATTTTCAATTTATCATATTTAAAACTGAAAAAAAGATGAAAGATCTCGTCACCACAATGAACACAACCGACGTCCCAATACTAAATGAAAAATTGCGCTTACTTGAGAAAAAAATGGGCGTTGTCTACACACTGTTTAAAGCTTCGGTGTACTCGCTTGTTACTGCTGCCGATAACTCTACAAGATAACTATTTTTTGGAGATCATATTTGTGGTAAGCATTCTTTTCAACTTTTGGTGACTTCATTTTAAACCACTTTATCATAAATTATTATAGAAGAATACATCTACAATGCTAGACATAAATTATCCGATAATATAATATCTAATTTTTTTTCATTTTAGGGATGCTAACGACTCGACTTTTACCGACTATGAGTCAAAGTCGATCACATGGATTTCCAGATAAAATCAAAATTTATATCATAAATAATATCAGTTCACATATTTTTACTCTTACATAATTAACTATTTATTTTTATCTGAAAAAATTGGGAATAGCCATGATTTAATAAACTCAAAGCAAAATACAATCAAGAGTGAAATAAAGTGATAATATCTATAAAATGTTTTATTCATTCAACTTTTTAACCTATTTCTTGGCTTATTAATAATGAAACTGAATCCACTTGAATTGACAAATGATTTTATGCTAACTTAGAGATTAATTTTCATCACATTAAAGAATTTCACATCATTATTATATGAAGATAATCCCAATATTATTTTGTTTTATCAATCTTTTTTGAATTGAAATTAGATTTGTAATTATTATAAGAAGTTAATATTGTATATATTGTATTGAATCAAAAATTTTAAAATATAATTACATATGATATTTTATTAATATATTATTAATAATTTTGTTTTGAGTAATGTAACTTTGTATTTAATATATAATTAACTAAAATAATAATTTAAAGAGTTATTTAATATAATATTGATATGATAATTTAATAATTTAAGAAATAATTAAGTTTAATAATAAGAATAGTTTATTAATAAGAAAAGAATATAAATTATAATTTGATTTATTTTACAAATATTATAAAAGAAATTATAGAAAAAAACTTTAAAAGAAAATAATTATTTAAGATATATATAAAATTCTAACTTATTAGTTTTAATATTTTATTTACTATTTTTATTATTTTATTATTATATTATTATTTATTTTATCTTTATTACTTTTATTATTTATTTTGCTTATATTACTTGAATTATTAATATTATAAATTATTTAATAATAATATATATATTCTTATAATATATTACTAGAAATTCTAAAAACAAATCTATCACTTTGAAATCCAATATCTCAAAATTTAATGATCTAATTTAAATAAAAATACTTCATTAAATTTGTTGTAACTTTACAAATCTTATGATAATATCTTTATTTAAATGATATTACTAGATTATAAGAAATTAGATTTCAAACTAATAATTTTATTTTTGAATTTCTGATAATATATTATAAGAATATATATTATTAAATTATAATAACTTTTATAATTATAAAATTAAAAGATTAATTTTATTAATAAATTAAAATTTCTCTTTATATTAAAGTTTATAATTTTATTAAAAATTAAAATTAAAAAAAATTTAATTAATAAAAATTTTTGTAATAATTTTGTAATTAAAATAATTCTTTCAAAATAAATATATATTAAACTATATCTTATTAATTTTATTTTAATATAAAAATAAAAATTATTTCTTAATAAAATTATAAATTTTAATATAAAAAGAAAATTTTAATCTTTATTATATTTTATTATAATTATAAAAATTATTATATTATATTTAAGAATTATTATAAATTTCTTATTAATTTAATAATTAAAAATTTTTTATAAAAATAAAAATTATATTTATTTAAAATTATTATTATAAAAAATATAATTAAACTTTTTTATAATTATATATTTTTATAATTATATTTTTTATAATTAATATTCTAATTATTAATCAATTATAATTAAAAAATTTCTCTTTAATTATATTTTTTTTATAATTATTTAATTATATTTTTTAAATATAATATACAGTGGCAATCAAAAATAATACAAAGCTTAAATTTTTACTAATTATAATTAGTAAAAAATTTAAGCATTGCATTATTTTTGATTACTACTATATTAAGTATAATTAATTGAAAAAATTATTACTAAATTATATTAAAATTATAATTTATTTAATTAAAAATATTAATTAAAAATTATTAATTCTAATTAAAATTAAATTAAAAAGAATTTATATATTATAATTTATTAATATATTAAAATTCTATAATTTAAAATAATTATATTTAAAATTATAACAAGAAAATAATAAGTAAAATATTATATATTAAAATAATTAAAAATAATATTATTTATAATTTATAAAATATATATTTTTATTATATATCAAATTTTTTTAATTTTTTGCTAAATAACTTATTTTAATTATAAATAAAAATAATTAATTTTTATTAAAAATTAATTATTTTTATTTATAATTAAAATAAGTTATTTGATAATAAAAAATTAAAAAAATATATAATAAACTAGAGAATTTTAGTTATTTTTTAAATTAAAATAAAAAATATTTATTAATAAAATTAAAAACTTTTATTAATAATAATTAATAAATATTTAAATTTATATTTTTTTAATTATTATTATATAATATTTATAAAAATATATTATCAAATATTAAATTTTATAATTAAAATTTATTAATTTATATATTAATTTATTTAATTATAAAAGAAATAAAATTAATAATTTTATAATAAAAAAATATTAATTTTTTTATTAAATTTTCTTAAAAAATTTAATTAAATAAAAAATAAATTAATTTATATAAATTTTTAATAAATTTATTATTTTATTATTTTTATAATATTTTCTTTTTAAATAATATCTAATAATATTATTATTTATATATTTTTTATATAATTTATTAATAAAATATAATAAAAATTAAAATTAAAATTTATAATTTATTAATAAAATATAATAAAAATTAAAATTAAAATTTTATATTAAAATTTATAATTTATTAATAAATAAATATTTTTACTTTTATATTAAAATAAATATATTTTATTAAATTTTTTAGATTTTTCTAAAAAAATTATTTTAATTATAAATTAATATAAATAAAATTTAATTAAAAAATATTTAATTAAGAAATATTTTAAAAATTTTTATAATTAGAATATTTTTTCAGAAAAAATCTAAAAAAATTATTAATAAACTTATAAATTTTTAATATAAAATTTTTATTTTAATTTTTATTATATTTTATTAATATATTTAATATTTTATATATAATATTTAATAACTATTATATTAATAATAATAATAATAATAATAATAATAATAATAATAATAATAATAATAATAATAATTATAAATTAAACTTAAAAATAATATTTTATTAGTTTTGAAAAATATAAAAAATAAAAATATAAATAATAATAAAAAACTTGAATAACTTATAAAAAATTTATCAAGTTAATTATTATTGTTACCGTAGTAACATAAATTTCTTTAATTTCATAATTTTTCGAACTTGGAGAATGCGACCAATTAATTAATCTTTGAATAACATGTGATCTCGAATAATATAATTGGTGTATCAGTTATGGATTCAATCACAGTTCAACAATGTTTTTGTAATATTCTTGCAACGTTTTTGCAACGTTTTAAGATCATCAATGAGAAATTAACTCCGAAATCAATAACAGTTTACAAACGGTTCAACAACAGTTCAAAAACGCTTCAGAAACAGTTCATCAACGGATTTTATTCATTTTTATTATTATCTTTTTCTTTTTTGGAACATATATCTTATCTTTTCTTTTTATTTCGTCATTTGTATTATCATTTAACTTACCACATGTATCTTATCTCTTATTTTTTATTTGTTCGTTTATTGATCCTTTACCCCAAAGATTGTAATTGTAATCTAGAGTAGTAAATGAGTTTAGATAGAAACTTGTAAAACCTCAAAGATGT